AATAGATATTAATACATTTTAATGGCCACTGATTCCTCCACATGGTTCTAAAGCACATGGTGCTGTGTAGTCTGAAAGTCATTCTGCTCTTATTGGCTGCTGTCTGTAAAGTTACACAGTCATAAATTAATAGCAGTTATTCAGGTTACTTAGCCAGAAGAGAAAAAATAACAGCGTTCATTTATTTAACTGATATTTTCACAATTTATTACTACTAATTACCAACAATTGCCAAATGTCAATTCATAAGCATTATTTAGCTCCAAAGTAAAGACTTAGCTCTGAGTTAAATATTTGACTAGAATGTGAACATTCAGATAGCATAAATACTTAGGTTCAAGCTAAATATTTTTTTCATATTAATTTTGGAACTAAATATTTAACTTTCTAATGAAATATTTATCTCAGGAAATGTAACATTTATGACATGATGACAATATGACTCCATTTTTCTCATACAGGTTAAACAACCCAAACTATTGATGTTCACCTTCGACACTTTGCTCTTAAATGACTTCTGAAAACAGCACTAGATTTGATTTAGGGGTGTCAGAGTTAAAGGCAAGTGAACAAAAAAATCACACCACACCTTTCAGATTTGATTTTTTTTAAAGATGAAAATCATGTATCCTTTTCCTTCCACTTCACATGTGTGTACTTGTGTCTGTTGGTCTGACCCATAAAATCCTTCACATCATATTACAACCACAAACTTGACCACACAGTTGAAGAGCATATGTGCTTGTGATGGGTGCATATTGTGTTTTTATTTTAAACATGGAAATAATAATAAAAACTACATACTGCATACTGGACAAGACATCAAAAATAGCAAAGAAACCCTCACTTGCTTAGTGCAATCCTCAAACCGTTGTGTGATGAAAGCGGTGAAGGTTCTTTACCTGTATGCCCTGTGCTGGAGACCGCAGAGCCCTGATGAAGCGTGCGGTATCACAGGGAGCCATGTCTCCAATGTCCACATGCCTCTTTTGGAGCCTGGGGGGGACCGGGAGCACCCTCCAGTCTGGGTCTGCCCTTATGTGTGTGGTACTTTCCAAGAAATTTGGGAGTTCATCTGAAAGATCCAGGTGAGCTTTTCTGGACACTCTCAGCTGGAGGATCTGAAGAAGAAGAAGATAAGCTGCTCATTCCTTGAGCCCATAAAGGGCCTGTGAGCTGTTGTACCTTCTCCACCTCCTCATCAAACGTGGAGATCAGCTCATGCAGGAAGTGAAGGGATCCGGTGGTGAAAAGGGCTGCACTCTCAGCTTCTAACCCTGTGGGAGGAGGAGACAGCTCCATGTTGTGTGGATTTACTCCTGTCCTGTCAGAGGGTAAGTCTGTGGACTGTTAGGAACACAACAATATGAGACGTTTGTTAATACTGGAATAACTAGAATCAAAAAGGTGCACTGTGACTTTATGCTCTAAAATGCAGGATCAGTAAATGTTCAAAATGATGAAATGCTTAATAAAATTAATACATCACTGACATAAGAACATTGACAACAAGAGGCCCTCTCTTGCAGAGAAAATAAGAGCAGAGTTATTCTTCACACCACCCTGCTGCATGAAAGGTGGTGTTGTATGTAGAAATTGGGTTCTAGATCATTATTAATGTAAAACCAAAAAGGGTTTCCAGTGAGGGAGTTAAGCCAACAGCTGCTCAAAGCAGAGACAATCAAGGAACAATTAATCTACATGCGAACTGATGAAACTTGATGAGCTGTAGACATTGACTGAACCAGAGCAGAAACAACAGTAGAGCTTTAACCAATGAGTTGCAGGTATCACAACTCAGAGCCGTGGATAGCAGGAAGTCTGGACTCCACTCACTTCATAAGTTTTTTTTATCTCCACAGTAAAGTTCTCCTGTCCTGAGCCACTGCTGGGCACTGAAACATCAGCTTACACTCTGATGAAAGACTTTACTTCAACCATTCTCTAATAGAAAATTAAACTCAACGTAGTTATATTTAATCTGATTTTAGCTTCTTAATAAAGTTTACAAACATACTTACAAAAGCTGTGGAGACAGGCGTGTTAACTGCACTGGTTTGGACTTTGAATGTTTGTTCACTATGATCCCTGTTTGAACAGGAAAATGTCGCCTTTCAAATGGAGTTTAAAGTCCTAGCAGGAAGAATTTTGCACATATTTTGCTCATCAGTGATTCTGGAAAAGAGTGACAAAACAGGTCCTATGGATAAAGCACAAAATTTTAATAAAATATACACAAAATATAACTTTTTGAGATATCTGACTAAACTAACCAGGGCCATGTGAGCACAACAATGTATGTTTCACTGGTTTTTGCTGAATATTTTTCATTTAAAACTTTGTAGTAGGTGGATGGTGTCTGTAAAAACCCTTGTCCTGGAGCAGAACTCGATACATTATAATAGTTTAAAACAAATAAAGGAATATTAAGATAATATATAATGACAATTAAGTATAAATATTCAAATAAATAATTATAAAAGTATCAATAAATTGAATTAAAACCCATTTTTATATATTTTCCAGCTCCATTTAAATTTGTCCCTAGTTTTTGTCAACACTGTCAGAAATGAAAAGAATGTAGAAAAATCAGGCATTATTGGGGGGCACCAGAACTTCTGAGGACCCCATGACCATTTCCTTTCTCTTCCTTTGCTAAGAGGGCTAGTTAGCTCCGGTTAGCTTAAGTTACTCTTTAGTTTTTCTTCTGTTTTATTCCTAAGTTGCTCGTCACAACCATGATGTGTCAACACAATAACTGACAATTTACAAAATTTTGATGAAACTTTGTGAAATAAAGGATGCTTAATTTTAGTATACTGTAAAGATTTTAGGGACCAGATGAACTACAATATGGCCTCCTTTAGAATAACATCATATAAATTGAGGTAGTTTGGATTTTTGACTCCATCAGAGATTTTAACTGACAGTGTGACTCTTTCAGTGATATTGTTGACAAACCTCACTTAAATGTGCAATTAATTCATTTTAATGTATATTACATAAATGGCATTACTTCACATGTATCAAGTATTTAATTTTACTCACTAGTTTGTCACCTTCTCTATGTCAACTCCGTCATGCACTGTCAACTCCATCAGATGGACTTTATGTTGGTTTTTGTTTTAAATTATATATTTTTTTCTTTCTTGAGAAGCATTTGTCTGTAAAACTGAGTAAAGATATCACTAATAGGGTCATTAAAAATAATTTTGTATTTATTTTTGTCAGATGGTGATGACAAAGTTCTGGGTTAGGTCGATTAAAAATGTTAGTTTCAAAAAATGTTGCAGCTGGGAGCCTGCACCTTAGCATCTTTACATTTCCAAAACATTATTTGTCATATTTGTATACATAAAAATTGGGGGGGAAATTTAAACCCATTTTGTCCCACTTCTCAAGAATCACAGTAATTTATTTTTAGAGAAAGAAGTGGATCATCTGTGACATGATGTACTTCTAAATTGCCAAATATAGATAAGAATGATTTCAAAACATTACTGCTAAATTTAAATGTAAGAAGTAATTTAACAAACAAAAACCCAACTTTCATGTGAACATAAGAGTTTTACTTGCTGTACACAGATAACTTTATTCTGTTCTATTCAAATTCTTGCTGTTAAGTTACTTTACACAATTCCTCTCTTTCTGACTGCTCCCTGCTCCCCTATAAAAGGGAGAGAGACACCAGAATTGGGGGAGACTTTATTGGCTTTATCCCATCTGATGGTCTCTAAACTTTGACTAACTTAATCCCTAAATTTTGGACCTGCTTACTCTGTAATTACATATGTTTACCTACAGTATTTAAGTCTGTCTTACAGAGTCTTCACTTATGCATCCCACAGAGGCATATTATAGACAACCCCAAAAATACCCATCATAAATTTTACAAAAGTTCAAATGTAGTGTCCTATAGTGCATACTCAATGCCAACACACTGGATCTTGATGCTGGTTGACAGGAAAGAAACCAACTCTGAATCTGTTCCCACGATGCTGCCTTAGCCTCTGAGTCACAACACACCTTTTTGATTCTTTCTCAATTTTCCTCTGAGGAAGAGTCAGAAAGAAAAAAAAGAGCACATGAAGCAAAGAAAAAAGAAATCTTTAAATAAATGGACAAAGGAGAAAACAAGAGGGAGCAAATAAAAAAACTAAATACAATACAATGTATGGCAAATTTTGAAAAGTAAATAATTTGATAAAATGTGAGTGTAGTAAAAATTAGTTTACCAAGCCATTTATTTAATTTGATGCTTACTGCCAATTTTGGCAGGATCAGTCCATCATATAGTAAACCTTCACAATGGAGTATTTTGTTTTGAAAATACGGAGCGGAAGCTGTTGTTGCGAGTGTTTCCGCCTTTGTCTGCCCAGACAGGATTTTGACAGCAGTTGCACAGCTCCACGCTGCAGGCGGTGTGATTTGCTTCAAGTAGACCTTCATGAAAAGCCATGGAAGACAAAGCTCAGATTCAGGAGGCCATTAAAGTCCAGGGGGAAGTCGTTCGGAAGCTAAAATCCGAAAAGGCGAGCAAAGAGCAGGTCAGTCCCCACATTTAGTTTCCCATTATGGCTGGATAGGTTGCAACATGCGGTGAAGTTCAGAGCTGAAAGGAAAGGGAGCTCTCTATCAATAACATCACTCACAGAACAGACATCCACATTCACTGTCATCAATGTTCAGCCCGGATGGAAAACCATGCGCTAAAACCCTTATTTTTTTCAACCTTCGCTGTTATTCAACCACGGCCTTCAATGGACCGCATATTCAATATTCAATTGCACATTTTTGAGTCCATAAGTGCGACAGAAAGGAAAACTCCCGGAACTGTGTTCCTGTCTGATAGAAAAAGTGAGCGAAAGAAGCCGGTGTTTTCCCCTAGCTTAAGCTAACCGGCTTACTGCTAGCTGGAGCGGCTAACGCTAACACGGTGACATCTGGGGGATTTAAACAGACTTCTTGTGCTTTAAAATAAAACTAACAATCTATCTTAAAAGTCCACTTTGATTTTAAACATATTTACTTTAATGAGCCACAGCTGATGCAATAAGATGTGGCTGTTACCGAAGATTTGTCCTCACCCCTCCTTCACAGCTGCCCGACAACCCTGCAGGTTAATAATGAAACACCAGGACACAATAACGGCATAATTTCATTCATATATGAATCAAACATGTCCTCCATGTTGTTGAAGGAGAGCTGCTGTTTTGCTCTGAACTTCCCTATCTGCTCCATGGAAACGGTGGAGCTGAAACACAGACTGCTGATGTATGAACCCAGGATTAAATGAAAGGAGCAGCCATCACGCTTTTCCTTTAAATGGGAAAAACTCCGCTATCCTGGGCTGACTGATCCTCATATGTACAGTTGAAACCAAAAGTTTACATACACTAAAGAGACGCACATTTTTTGTACTGCTCCAAGTTAAATCAGAACAAACTTCTCTGTTACTCAAGTGATTCCTATTTGCTAAACTCAAAATTTTGTTGAAGGTAAATGCGTCATCTTATTTGGTGTGTGTAAACTTCTGGTTTCAAGAGTGTTTTCTTCTGTCAAGACTCATCTTTGTTTCTGTGTTCTGAAGTTGCTTTACCATAACGTATAAGCAGGGGAACCAATGAAGAGCTTCTGACCAATCAATTCATTTTACAACCTATGGCAGTAAAGTGAGAGAATTGTTCATTTACAGTTAATGTTTCACTTACCAAACATTAACTGTTTGGTAAATGAAACGGTTCATTTACCAAACTGAACTGTTTCAGGATGAAACAATTCAGTTTGACTTTAGAGGAGAGAAGAAACACTAAATGTTTCTATTACAAACAAAAATGTTTTTTTTTTGTTTTTTGTTTTTGCTAATGTTGAAAGCACACAATTTCACAATTTCAATGTTTTCATTAGTGAAGAAGTGTGATTAACGAATTTTTTTAAAGAGATAGAGTCCCAATTTCAAGGCGTTAAATCAGAAAGTAACTTCTTTTTTTACGTCATATTTATAAAACATTTGTATAACATCTGAAGGCAACATTGTTACCTGATTATGCTATAAAATGACGCTGTGTGCCTGCAAAACACATAATAATGTCCATGTCCATTTAAACAAATATATTTTTGGAATTTCAATTTGCACTATTTTATGAGCAATGGAAACGCTGCTAGTGTTGAAGAAGCTGAACTCATAGCAGTTTCATTAAAACTCATGTTAACTGGGAAACATGGAACACTGTATTTATGGAAGCAGCATATAAACATGTGTCACTCTGCTCAACTCAAGCTGCATTACAGAGTATCTGCACCTAGCAGAAATTATTAGTTACTTTGTCAGGTGGACTTTATTAATTTGCACCTGTTCCCCTGTAAATCAAACGGTTTTAAATCCTAAACCTTTGTGTCCAATCTACCAAGCCTTAGAGCAGGAACAGATGTATATTAATAAACAGAATCAGAAGCCAGTAAATGTTTGCTGTCTGTAGCTGCTCCAGGCTTTTTGAAGATATCTGCAGGTGTTTCTGGGTAGCTGTGGTCAGGCCTGATATAAGTTGTGTGTGTGTGACTGTGTACGGGGGCTGCATTTTTGATTGACTTGCTACATCTCATGTTCTGTCCTCCACGCTGTGGTGATGATGATGATGATGCCCCGCCCTTCCCTAGTGCTAGGGTTGCTTACCATTTTTCTCCTGTTCTTCCTGCCTGGCCCTGGATGACCTCTTCCTGCCGGACCCTTGACCTCCACCATCTTCCTCACCACCTGCGGGCGATCGGACCCACCTCACTTTCTCTTGGGAATACTGTTCCCATGACGCACTCCTGAACTCTACCTTTCCCACTCCATGGACATTTTTTTCCCTTCATATTTTTTGTTCCTGTGTCGGATGACCATGCTGGCTCTGTCCTTTGCTCGTGTCTGCTCTGGTCTGGCACCGTTTCGGACTGTACTCCGTCTGCAACCGCTCCGTTCTGCCTCTGGCATCACTGTGGCTCAGGTAGGCATGTCTGCATTGCAGAGTATTCTAGTTTATTCATTGTGGAACCAGACAAGGTAGTGTAATATGTTTTGCTTTGTGTGTGTGTGTGTGTGTGTGTGTGTGTTGTAGATTGATGAAGAAGTAGCCAA